GAAGCAGAGCAGCCTAGCAGCAGCAACAGAAGCAGAGCAGCCTAGCAGCAGCAACAGAAGCAGAGCAGCCTAACAGTAGTAACAGAAGCAGAGCAGCCTAACAGCAGCAACAGGCCAGCAAGCCACAAGCAGCGGCCTCAACAACAGTAGCTACGGCAGCATTAGCGACCGTGGTCGCGATCGCGATCGTATCAAGGAAGCGCCCGAGTGAGTACGCTTTGCTTTTTCTAATAAATCGTGTGATTGTTAAACGCGAGTGCCGCATGACCTTCGCGCGTTCCATAGATTCGTCTTTGTGCACACTGCATCGCTAAGCTTCCGGGCGATTTCTTTTGTTGCGCCGTTGTACCGTACGTTGTCCGAAAGACGAATTCTTCGCGTGATTGTTAAACGTCCGCGTTAACGCGAGTGCCGCATGACCTTGAGGGATTGACTACTGGGCTGACCTAGGGAATAGTTGATCTAATAAACTCGAGTCTTTATTAATCATGGTTTTGTTACTGAGTTTGACCTCTTGATCACCTCATCCCCCGTAGCTATCGCGATCAGTCCCGAGATTAACGAACGCACATGTAATCGACTTGATTGCCGCCCAGCCCAATAATAGTTGTCGCGTGAACCACGCCACCAGTCGACGAAGAATCGGAGGGAACCTCTCTCCCAGCTACTTATCCGTTAACGAGGCGCCCCTGTGACGCCCCTCGATGTACCCATTCCCGAGATGAGAGCCTAGTGCCCCGAACAAGAGCCTGACTAGCTGGACGAGCCGCAGCCGTGGGTGGCTGAAAATCACCCGTTGTCTCTTTCTCGTTCGCTCGGTATCTCCTCGTGTCCGAACGATTTACGTATAGGATTTCGCGCTCCCCCTTTCATCTCTTACAGGTGATAACCCGCGCGAGATCGACGACGACGAGGAAGGAGGCAGCGGGGAAACCACTCGACAATCATAGCGACCAGCAGGGCCCACGCCCGACAGCCGACGTTGCAGCGCTACCTGTTCTCCTAACGCGAGAGCACGGTAGCTGGTGCCCAACTCAAATATATAAAAGCTGCACATTATCGGCTAACTGCGCCGCTGGCGGCAGTCGAGCCCGGGAAATTGACTACCACTTATTTTCCCCTCCCTCTTCCCCGTCGCATATGATAAGTATTGTAGTGAAGAGCTCTAAGAATTATCAAAAATGTTATTCTTGGTATAACATAATCAATCTCTCTCTCTCTCTCTCTCTCTCTCTCTCTCTCTCTCTCTCTCTCTCTCAACTCGGCGACTGCTGGTATGATAATCAAGATGAATGATTGCAAGAACAAAAACACGTACATCATTTACGTCAAATACGTGTTGCCGGCGTTGCCGAATCACATGTCTACGAGGAGCTGAGTTAAGCGACTAATTACTCTATGATTTGGATGTCGTCTATGAGGAAAGCGTTCAGCGTAAAGACTTGCTGCAACACGATAATTGTTACGATTTTCCCCTAAAACCATCAACATAGCCACAATCTCATTTGATTGATTGTCAGCCATTTTAGGAGTTAGTCACGTATACAAAATTTTGATCATGTAATTGCAATCGAAACCTCAAAACTGATAAGAAGACAATATTTGAAACTTAAAAAAATTAAAGTTATTTTTTTGTTAAGCTGTAGCATCTTTCATAAGTTTTCAGTATGATTTATTCCAATGATAATTTTGAGCAATAAAGTATTATTTTTTGCAATGAACATTTCGTTTTGATGTTACAACAATTTAATTTTATGTAATTACAAAATACAAATCAAGAATTTTTCGATTCTTCTCTTATTTTCAAATTTAGTAAGATTCTTACTTGTAACAAATTTGTAGTGAGTCAGTACGGTTTGGATGTGTATAGAGAGAGCTTGATTGAAGATTATTATCTGATTTTTCGAGTGGTGATGTTAAAAAAAAAATTATCTACATAGAAGTCTCTAATAAGAAAAACATACAATAGCAAACTTAACCTGTAAACAAAGTTCACCTTGATGTCATGATCACCAAGATCAATGGCAAGATCATAGGAATATGTCGCGCTCAAACTTGAGCCACTTTCAGTGAACCGTTTTTTGCTAACACTCATAATTTTTGAGAAACTCACTAGGTCGATTGAAATGTCCTATCCTATATTTTCACTTTTGTTATCTTTAAAATTGCTGGTAAAAAATATACATGTAAATAATCATTAGCAGTCAGTTTACTAAACGAAACCATTAAAACATAGAATTAACAGATGTAGTTGAAAACAATTTCAATTTGTTCATTAATTGAACATTCAAAATAATATATTTCAGATGATATTCAAATCTTTATACCAATAAATATTCATTTTAGAAAAAATATTGTATAAACCCAATCTAATATACGCGGAAAACTGTGATCTTTGAACTGCACGTTCAAGGCTATAGCGAGATAAGGATGTTAAAATTGACCCTGCCTGTATTTTTATTTGGAGTTAGTCGTTCGAAAGGACATACTTGAAAACTTCTTCACCCAAATTTTTAGCTCCCTAGGTGGTAATAGGACCCTACAATGTGTAACAGGCTACCGTTTAGTCGCAAATCCCAGGCAATTATATTTACCGCAACGGCCAACCGGTGCTCTGTTAACTGTGTGCTTCGAGCACACTGACTCACCTTCCGCCGGTGTGCGCATGCGCCGAGCCCTCGCAGCAATTCAACTTCGATGCTCGAACTATCCGCTAGAGGTGCTGGTGTGCTTGCTTGCCAGCGCTCCGTCGGCCGCAGCAGATAACTCGGTTAACGAACAGCTCTTTCTATATTATTCGCGACCTTTGTTGGATTACCGGCGCGTTCGAATCAAAACGTAAACATAAACACCGACATCGGACAAGGTGAGACGAAATAATAAGATCGTCTCTTATTATTAGTTAATCACTTTATTGGACGAGATAAATCCTATACAAGGTATGATTTGCCGAGAGTCTGAACGTACGCCGTATCTACAAAATAGATCGAACGGGGAGAGAGAGAGAGTTAATTTCGCGGACGTCGTGGACTAATCGCACGCACGACGCTACCTACAAAACTCACCGCGCACGCTGCGCGGGATCGCACGCAAAACAAATTCAAAAGTGCAGCGCACTTACCGCAGATCTGATGAGGATACGGTGGCCAACCGTATCCGCTTACGCGAGCCACGAGCTGCCTCTGCAACCGGCTTTTGTTGCTGTTGTCGAGTTGCGAGGTGGATGCTGCTGCTAATCTGTTGTTGCCACAGTCTTCGTTGCTACGCACGAGGTGCAAGGCTCACACTCACTTACACACTCGGCACAGAATATCTCGAAAATAGCCTCTGTACTTTGCTATGAAAAATGTTGATGAAGGACACGACATAGCAAGTCTGACGAACACTGCTATACTGACTCGCTAGCTCTCCCCTCCCGGACCCCACAGAGCATGAAATATTTCCGAAATATTTCTGAAATATTTCATGAAAAATTAGGAATATTGATGAAACATTTCATGAAATATTTCAGAAATATGGGAATGTCCGCCACACAAACCGTACTAAAATATTTCATGAAATATTACGGATATCTTGCAGGAAATATTACTGATATATTGCTTCAAATATTTCGGAAATATTTTCTGAAATATTACTGGTGTATTTCATGAAATATTCCTGCTAAGTTACGATATACATTCCTGGATCATTTCATGAAATATTTCAGAAATATGGGAATGTCCGCCACACAAACCGTACTAAAATATTTCATGAAATATTACGGATATCTTGCAGGAAATATTACTGATATATTGCTTCAAATATTTCGGAAATATTTTCTGAAATATTACTGGTGTATTTCATGAAATATTCCTGCTAAGTTACGATATACATTCCTGGATCATTTCATGACATATTTCGGAAATATGGGAATGTCCGCCACATAAACCGTACTAAAATATTTCATGAAATATTACGGATATCTTACATGAAATATTACTGATATATTGCTTCAAATATTTCGGAAATATTTTCTGAAATATTACTGGTGTATATCATGAAATATTCCTGCTAAGTTACGATATACATTCCTGGATTATTTCATGCAATATTACTGATGTATTGCTTTAAAGATTGTGGGAGTATTTCGTGAAGTATCCCGGAAATATTACATGAAATATTCCTGATATATTTCATGATATTGTTGCGGAATATTTCATGATATACTCCCTGAATATTTCATGAGATATTCCAGAAGTATTGGAAGGAAATATTACTGCTAAATTGCTTCAAAGATTCCGGAAATATTATATCAAATGTTCCGGATATATTTCGTTAAATATTCCTGATATATTTTATGATATTGTTCCGGAATATTTTATGATATACTCACTGAATATTTCATTAGATATTCCAGAAGTATTGGTATGAAATATTACTGCTAAATTGCTTCAAAGGTTCCGGAAATATTAGATCAAATGTTCCGGATATATTTCGTGAAATATTCCTGATATATTTCATGATATTGTTCCGGATTATTTCATGATATAGTCCTAGAATATTTGATGAGATATTCCAGAAGTATTGTAAGGGAATATTACTGCTAAATTGCTTCAAAGATTCTAGAAATATTAGATGAAATGTTCCGGATATATTTCATGAAATACTCCTGTAACATTTCCTGAAATATTCCAGCTTAGTTATGATAGAGATTCCTGGATTATTTCATGAAATATTTCGGATATATTTCATAAAATATAACAGTATTGTTCTGCCAGGCTGTCCATGCAGTTTTGTGCTTCCTGATATGAAGGCGTACAGTCACCACTTCACGCACCGTGTTAAAAAAAATATGGAATTGTTTCCGACAACTGCGCTGAAAGAAGAAAACGTTTCATATACATTTCTAAATATTTATTATAAATATTTCCTGATCTATTTCTAAAATATAACGGCAAAAAAGGATTGAAATAATTCACTCTCAGGTTCAAGAAATAAATATGTGTTTCTCATTTATTAATAAATAACTTACTTATATTAATAGTACATGAAAAAGTTAAAATTACAAAGTTTATTCTTCATTCATTGAATTTTCTTCTGCTACATTCTCCTCTAAATCGATGTAATATTTTACATCTCTTCTTCGTTTTTTGGAACCGGCTCTGAAATTTATATATAAAATTATTCATTACAATTCAAATTATAGGTATCTGAAGTACTAGAATTCATTATATTATAGCACTATATATCCTAAATCTGCACATAGGCCGCGCTTGAGCATGCCCCAAGGCGTTCTAATTTTAATGGCATCACGGTGGCATAACCGACAAAAAATAGCATATAAAATGGAATTCATCAAAATGTATTTATAGGACTGAAATTCAAAAAATAAAGCTACTGACGCACATAGATAATCAATAAATGTTTCCGAAAAGTTTAAAAATGATTACAATAGTACTCTTTAATTAAAGGTTGGCATACACTACTTGGAGGGCATATTCTCATTACGAGGAGTGGTTTGGAGCACATTGCAAATAATTTTCGAGGACCGAATATCGAACAGATAAGCACGAATAAACGTAACTTCTGGTAAAATTCTTAATTTTTACCCATGGTCTTATTTTAAAACCGCTTAAAAGAGCTATCGCATGATCAATTTGGACAAATCTAGCGCGAACTATTCCACTTTCAAACATACTATATTTTTTAGATACGCAAAAATGAGTGTATTTAATATCGGATATCTATGAAAAAGGTAATTTTGAAATTGGAAATCACGCGTGGAACATGAAAATTGCTTTAAGGCAATGGTGAACCCTCAGGGAAGATTACATTATTAACGTTTTGTCGGTAATCAGTCTTTCTGTACACAAGAGAACTACTTAGGTGACCCGTAAAGTAATATACTATGTAATACTTACGCTTCAGTGTCTGATTCCCTCTTGAGTCTTGTGCCAGACTGATCTAACCAGCTACTGATTCTTGAACGAATCTCTTCGTCCTGTGATGATGGAAATAGATGACGCACTGATTCTAAAAGAATATATTTCTATATAATTCAGAAAAACAATCAGAAATAATCCGTGTATAATACTCACTGTATATAACTGTGCACAACGGCAAATCTTTAAATGCATGCTTCTTCTTGTGCCCTACATAGCTGTATTTGTTTGCTACCTTATTAGTCATAGCAGCGGGTAGAATATTGTAAATAAACCTATGTATGTCAGCGCCTCCTTTGCTTTTAAAAAAAAGTACCTGGAATTCAAAGGGAATCAATTCATTTATCTAACGGTTAAAATCTGATTATTAGTGAATGAATGTGATGCGACTAAATGAGTTCGATAAGAGTCAACTCAACTATAGGGATACCAAGCTAGGAATAAGTCATACCATGAATATAGTTCAATAAATAATACAAATAGTACAAATTAAAAACCAACTCACAGCATAATAAAAATAATAATGCTAAAGTTATTTTAGCCATACTATCTATTGAGGTCAGTATACCTAATATCAAACTGTACCCAATATCGGACTTTTTTCAAAACTCAAATATTCGCGCTCTAACGCCCTCTAATGGGTTACCATTATGTTAGTAGTATAAATTAATTAAGATTTCACGATTTGCTTCGAAACGCCAACTCCGTTTTTTAAGAAGAGTTTCATGTCCCGTATAGCATCATATTTTTAATTTAAAATTTGCTACGAGTAAGTATGTGTTATTTAAGTTATGCTATTATTTCTAAACATAAAACTATATAATACCATTGGATTTGTAATTTCTTGCTCTTTGCAAGGCGCTTTACTACATTTGAGGGGCGGGGACACGTGAAATTTCAGCCTACCTTTATAAATGACTTAGGGGGCTGAAAATAATATATATAATATAGTATTTCCCGACAAATTCAATAGTGCTATCAAAAATAAAAAAAAATTCTTTTAGCATTTTTTTCATTTTTTTTGTTATATATATATATATATATATATGGGCGATTTCACGTCGGTTCACCGGATCAAAATTTTTGGCAGCAATTTCAAAATTTCAATTTTTGAAATTTTTGAAAACTTGTATAACTTCATGAATTTTTTTGAGTAGGAAGGAATCATGTTAGGTATATACATATATACATCAAATAACATGTACTTTTCACATAGATTATGAAAATAATATTAGTTTTTCAAAATAACCATTTTGAAAAAATGTATATATATATATATATATATATATATATATATATATATATATATATATACACACGAAAAAGTCAAAGAGCGACAAGGTTTAGATCAAATTTTATTCCATCAAAATGTATCTTATTCCAGTAGCTTCCGAAAGAAATGTCGCAAAGAATGGGTATCCCTTTACTTCTATATATTTAAGAAGCAAATATTATAAAAAAATCACATCATTTTATATATAATATGATGTAGTTGCCCCAAAATAAATAAAAAATAAAGTGGTACATGTTTTCAATGTATTTTTCCCCGTAGAATACGATGGTGTTATTAGTTTTTGAATACGACTTACCTAGAAAGCTATAATAGCAAATAACCTCTAAAAATCTTTGAAAAATCTTGTTTTTAGCTTCTAGCCCTTTTTCGGTAAACTTTATGATAAAACCAATAACACCGTTGTGTTCTACGTGGAAAAATACATTAAAAACATATCCTATATGTTGAAAAACATATTATTTAACACTGGCATTTGAACAGAAATAATAGTTATTTTAGTAGCCCAATTACCGCGTGTAGGGCAATATATTAATAGCTAATTTGGCAAAGAACTACCTACAGACATATCTAATTATTTTCTAATAAATGATATGTTTTCAATGTATTTTTCCACGTAGAACACTATGGTATTATTGGTTTGATCATAAAGTTTATCGAAAAAGCGCTAGAAGCTAAAAACAAGATTTTTCAAAGATTTTTAGAGGATTTTTACTATTCCTACTTCCTAAGTAACGTAAAAACTAATAACACTATCGTAATCTACGGGAAAAAATACATCGAAAACATGTACCACTTTGTTATTGTTTATTTATTGTGGGGGAACTACATCAAATTATATATGAGATAATGTGATTTTTTTTATATTTGCGTGTTAAATATTGTTATGATGCGGAAATGGCATCATAATTTGGCCACGATATCCCCTGCCGACGATGTATAATCGCTGACTCCGCGTACTTTCCTAGCCGGCGGATGCTAGCTAGCATTTGAGCGTAGCAGCCGATCTCGAGTTGACCCGACAAGCGAGCGCCCTCTCACCTCGCACATACACTCACACCGGTATAACCCGCTACTCTAAGGTCGCGTATATATACACACTGACACGCAGACTACGCGGTACCTTCAGAAGCGAACGAGCAGCAGACGACACAGCATGCGGAGCTGAGCAGCTTGATGACCACGGAGCATAGAAAATCCATAAAGTGGCGACGAGCATACTATAGCGAGAGAGACCACGCACGGTAGATGACGCTCGATACCATTCGCACGGATCTGCGTTCGATTACCGACCGCTCCACAGACGTATGATAAATGTATTGGATTTCGAGATTCGCGCGCTACGATCTACTAATCAAATAATTTCAGTTATACGGGACTATTACTCGGTTCTAACTGACCAACCAAAACTGGGGAATTATGGGGGAGGTGATGACGTAGTACTGAATTATCTCGCTGATAACATTTTTGACTAATGACTGATTTTCTCTCCGCGACCAATCACCGAATTTAACACAAAATTAAAAAGAGACAGACGACGAGCTGCACGAAGAAGACGTATCGGCTCATCCATATTGCCGCCTGTTGTATCAGTGATAGGACGTATTTCTTGTGCTTGAACATAGTTTCAATATTGTGTGAATACTAGTTTGTTCGGACGAAATATACTCGCTAGAGATTGTTGCTGGAGGGACGAGATATTGATCTTCGCACTCTATCACGCTGTAAGTACACTATTGACAGATCTGACGTTATTCGCGACGCGACTCCGACAGTCATGTGTCAACGCTGACCGGCATTTACCGACCCACGACCTTGTCTAAAGCGATCCTCCGCGAACTACGCGTCTGACTATTACGCCGGAAAAACTTTCATGGTAGACCGATGTAGAAGTGAAACACTCATCCTGACCCAACTTTTCTCACGGATGTTCTGGCCTTGACCTTGAACGCGTCGTGCATCTTGCACATTCATCTTCGACTACAAATTCAACTTTGCTTTAGCGACACCTTGGAAACTGTTTGGAATAAATCGACTCAATTTTTTTTTAATTACTCTCTGTATTTGCGATATCTTGACTACGTTCCTATCCCTTGGCACGCCGTCATCACTTTCAATTTCAGCCGCGGGCGCGACACTTATAAATATTGACCACCGGGCTACCTGAAGCATTAAGTCATTTACAGTATTTTGCATCTGAAAATTTATTTGAGACGATACGTTGCATCGCAATCTGATACCACCGCAGGCGGTAAAATTAAATGTCCATCTAGCGTAGCTCGATTCTTATTAGTCGTTTTATGCAACGTATCTCTGAACCGACTCCTGACGCCGAAACCTCGCCATCTTGTTTCGCTCAGCCAATCAGACAACGAGGAAGCTCTCTGCCACTCGACCTACCGCTAGCCCAGCATCTGTGGACCGACCGCCGTCGAACAGCTCTAACACATTCACACGTCGTGGTACGATTTTCCTCCGGTAGCCTCCGAGCTACCTGGCGCTCTACTACAAACTCGGGGAAAATTTGACGGTCGCCCGTAAGTATCGCTAATTCCGGCGCTGATATTGCCCGTAACTTCTCGCACGTTTAGCTGACCCTTACAATCTATAGAAGGAAAAGGATACCCATTATTTGGTTATAAAATTTGATCTAAACTTTGTCGCTCTTTGACTTTTTGGTAAATGTATATATATTTATAGATATATATTTTTTTTCATGATGTGTATTTTTAAAAACTAATATTATTTTAATAATCTACGTCGAAGTTTAAAGTGACAATTTTGAAAATTCTGCCAAAAATTCAATTATAAGTTTAAAAATCGGGAAAAATTAGGGATATTCTGCATAAGCAGTACTTTCGATTGGTACAAAATATCACATTTTTTTTCGACTTGACGTGAAATTATTGCTACATTTTCAAGAACTTAGCGAATGGGCTTTTGGAAATATTGATTTCTTCCACGAAAAAAAAATTAAAAATGTCAAAAGAATTTTTTTAACAATTTGATAGCAACATTGGATTTAGCGCGAAATACTACATTATCGATTCTAATTTCATCTCCCTACGACTTTTTTTCAAAGGTAGGCTGAAATTTCACTCCCCCCCCCCCCCCCCACCTAAGATAATACATAAATTATTCAAATGCCAGCCTGATTACTGTTCATGCTCAAAAGTACCCAATATCGTACATTTCCAAACCTTAATATCAACATCGAATAAAAAGTTTAAATATTATGTATTCAGCCATCTGTTACTTACTTCATATTTTTTTTCATTAGTTAGTTAAACTTTGTCAAATTCTATATAAAACGAAAGAATAACAAATTATGACATCTCAATCTGTAACATTTTACCTGTTAAGTTTTGATTTAGAACTTTGAAAACGCATTTTACAGAAAGTCCGATATTAGGTACACTGGCTCGAATTCGGAAAAAAGTAGATCGATTAAAAATTGCTGTAACTTCTGACAAAAAGCAATTTTCTGGTCGTGTGAGGGCTGATTTGAAAGCTTTTGATAGCAGCTTTTAAATAAAGCAACTCTTGATTGAAAATTTGCTTCGAATCAAAAGTTAAGTCCGTCCGCGCTTAGTAGTCCGATATGGAGTACAGGTACCTTAGTTTATGCTACTTGAAGAAGTTTTTGTATAAAACTAGTATATCGACTTGCAGAGAATGGTCTCTATATATTAAAGTTTATCTATTATAACGTAAAAATGCATCTACAGTATTTCCAGTTAATAACATAGAATGTCAATTCAAATAAAGTTTATGAAAATTAATGCACGTAATTTTAAAAACAGTTTTCATCTAATTGTCACCATTTTGTTATGGAATGGAAAATAAATCTGTGCATGTGCGCAAGTCATAATTGCACCCAAACATGCTAAAAGAGTACATTAGTCACCAAAGAAGTATAATAAGCACTGTACGCAATGCTTGACGTGTTCATATCATGCACTTCTTGCATGTCAACTATACTCCCGTGTTTTATACAATATTTCTACACACTTAAATGAAGTGAT